ACAGACCTGTCATATGACTTTCCATCAATCAAGGATTGGCTGCTATCAAGAATGCTTCACCTGGACAAACCATTTACAGGCTCAGAATTTCCTCTCTAGTTAAGAAGAGATGGTGATAGTGGTGTACCTAGAATATTTCAAACCTAGTGTAAATCATTTTTAGCAACCCCTTCCTAATAAAATTATTTTCAGTAATATTCCTAAAATTAAATGAAAAATATTAATTGCTGGAAAAGAAATGCAGGGAGTGAATATTCTATTTTATCCAACTCACTTATATAAACATGCTAGTAAAACAGATTAGTTAATAAAACAGTAAGTGTAATATTTGTGACATGGCATCTTTCTCATCTAGTCTTATGTGGCTGGTTAATCTGGTGAGGTGGTATTGCTACTCCCACATCAAGTGGGACAGTTGAGAGCTCTGCCATCTGTAATAGATGATGTCAAATGAAATGTGCTAATCTTTCAACTGCCACAAGACTCTTTTGTTATTTTTCCTGCAAAAGACTAACATAACTTTGGATCTATTCACACAGGACAAATTTTAGCGGCATTTCCGGCTCTGCAGCAGTTTTGCCACAGACTCTGTGAGCTCCCATCACATACTGAAGTACCTCTGGGATGGCTCAGTGGCAAAACTGCTGCAGAACCGGAGTTGCCGCTGAAAAAAAGCTGGTGGCAACAGCATGGGAGACACCCCATGGTTGTGTTGCCCTCAATGGGGTAAGCAGGCTGGCGGATGCTTCCTCCATGCGATGAGGTAGGGGGGAAGCCAGGATGGTGAGAGGCATGGGACAGCAGGTTCCCACACCCCAGGATGTGTACTGCCAGAATCACCACGATCTGCGATTATTCTGATGGCACGTCTGAAGAGGTCCTTAAGTCTCCCTAAATTTTGTTTATGTACATATAAACATTCTTCAAAGGAAGAAACAATACATTATAGCAGACCTATTTTCCCACCAACACCAACTTCCTATATTTTATTTAGACTTTTAAAAATAAATACTTCTAGTCCTACTCTTCTATCCATCACAGACCTGTTTTCCCCCCTTACTATAGAATACTGGTACATTCAAATAAGGAATGGAGCAGTGCAATACTAATTCAAAAACATGCTGGTTGCAAGCAGATAGGAAAAGGTAGAAGCCTGTTCTGCTGGCTGAACTATCTTTTTTGCTAGTTCAGTGCTGGCATTATCTCCTTCTCCTGACAGATTTCTCAAGTCAGTAGGGAAAGGATCTGCTGGAACTATTTAAATATTCATTTAATTTACTGGTTCATGTCTGGATAACAAAAGCAAGCTCTTTCTCTCAAAACTAGAAGGTTCACTTCTTCTGTCACCTGTCTCTATTTTCAGATGGGTTAAAGTTAGACACTTTTAAAAGGAAGGAAGGAAGTTTAGATTACAGGCCAGCTAATGGTCCCTACAAGTACTGGGTACAATGGTTAGAATTTGAATTTAATTTGGTTAATCTGGTCATATTGGGATCCTACATTGGGACCATGACATTTATAATACTTTCAATTAAAATGTCCTATAGACTTAAAAAGGAAAATTATAACTCAAACTGGGGATGAATCAAAAGGAAGGAGGGAGAGATGTCTGATGTGTGACCAGTTCTTTTTATTCCTTCTTTCTTTTTCCAAAGGAGAGGAACTAGCATGTCTCTGGGTTCATTACTGAGACACACTTTCTCCTCCCAAACCTGCAGTATTCTCATGCTGCTTTGCAGCTGTTGGCTGTCTGGATATACTGGGTTTCAACCTGCATGACTGATTACAGGGATTCTGGGAGTCCAAATCGTTTGGAGGGCCAAAGGATGAGGGTACCAATGTAAAACCAACCTTTAAACACATCTGTTTCTTCTCTTAAGCCAGAAAGTCTCCCACCATTCTGAGTACATATTCTGACTGTGCATAATAACCTCAGCTTTGGAATCATGGGGAACTTATGGCTCCATCCTATATATAAATATATTAGTTATATTTTATAACCAATACCCTAGTTTTATAACATTCCAGTGGGGTAGAAAGGTTGAGGAACCACCGTTTCTGCAACATTACCCCATGAACTGAGTTGTCTATCAGTTCATATATTAGCCTTTCACCATAATGGAGCACCCGATGGCAAGATGGGTTAAACCCTTGTGCCAGCAGGACTGAAGACTGACAGGTTGCAGGCTCGAATCCGGGGAGAGCGCAGATGAGCTCCCTCTGTCAGCTCCAGCTCCCCATGCAGGAACATGAAAGAAGCCTTCCACAAGGATGGTAAAACATCAAAATATCTGGGCGTCTCCTGGGCAACGTCTTTGAGACAACCAATTCTCTCACACCAGAAGCAACTTGCAGTTTCTCAAGTCACTCCTGACACGGGAAAAAAAAACCCCATAATGGGTGAAGTTTTCTAGCTCATTGGCTTAACTCACAGTGGTTGAATGAATAGTTGGGAAAGCAATGTATCTTGAGGGCTGTCTGCTTTCAGGTTGATGAGCTACTGTTGGTCAAACTCAGTCTGAGAGGTAGCTGTTCAATTGAAGCATGAACTTCTGTTTTTCATCAATTCCCCGAGAATAACTGTAACTGTAAAGCCATTGAAGATGAGTCAACAAGAGCCAGAAAAAAAAAGACAATGGGTTGAAGACATATTTACCTATTAGTTTTTTGTTTCAGCAGTGTGTACGATAAAGATGGGCTCCACTCAGTTAACCAAATAGTTGAGCAGAAATGCAAAGTGTAGAAGATCTGTGGGGTCCTTTTTAAATTCCTTGGGAATTATATAGATGAACTATTCATCAAACTATGCAAATGAATGTGGCTGCAATATAACCCATTTCCATAATGGATGATACTGATACAGGGCATGGCAATAAGAGACCTCTGTCATAACTTCCCATCCATCAGGGATGTCTTGCAATCAAGAAGTGTTAACATAGATATCCCCTTGATCAGGCTCAGAGTTCCCTCCCCAGTTAAAAACAGGTGGTAATGTGCCTTGAAGGGAGGAAACGTTTGGGGGGAAAGGTGGCTTTCCAAAAGCCTTGGCAGCACCCTTGACCTTCTTTTTTTATTGTTTGATCCTTGAGGTGTAGAAATACAGTGTTTTGTGATCATTTTCTCACTGACTTAATTTATAGATTAGCACAATTTCTTATTTGGCCTGCAGCCAAAGAGAAAGATTGCAATCAAGAAGATTTAACATTTAGCGGAATTTCGTGTACAATATAAGGGATGGAATAGGATGATATTTGAAAACATTCCATATTTAAACAGGGACAAATAAGTATGAACCTGAAATAATTTCAAATCTAATACATTGATTCTAAATGAAGGAGTAAAATAGGGTTTGTCAGCACAATTCAATTTCATTATTTTCTTAGTTATTTCTTGAAGTTTGGCAGGTAAGGCATTTCTAGGGGGCATTTCCCCCCCTGCCCCACTTCTCTTAGCTCAGTGTCACACCTCTTCTGACACCCACTCCCCACAAACATGGTGTAGAATGGCAAATCACAGCTCCAAAAAGTTTCTAAGTGATACAGCTGGCAATTTAAGGGCTAATTAGATCCCTGTAGATTGTTCAAAATCTTTGTAAGAGTTTTATTTAAACATGTGACAATCAGGTGTTGGGAAGAAATTATCTTGAAATTGCCCCCATCCCCAGATACTTCCAATGTGTGACTAGCCAATTTTTATGCCTTCTTTCATTTTCCAATATGCGTGTTTTGAGGGCAGGGAATTAGTAGGCCTGCAGGGTCATTGTAGAGCCATCATTTCCCCATCCTAGCCTGTACTATTCTTATGATGGAGGTCAGTGGTTTACAGCCTTTGGCTCCCCAGAGATACTCCACATATACTGGCCTTGAACATCCAGGAGCCCCAGACCACATAATCAATGACCAAGGCTTTTGAGAGTGAAAGTCCACAACATCTGGAGGGCCAAGGATGAAGACCACTGATGTAGGATAAATGTTTAACACTTTTAAAAAATCAGGGTTTTTTTCTGTTAGGTCAAAGGACCTTCCACCATTCTAGGTACATAAAATCTGTTGCCATTTCAGCTTTAGAATCATGGGATTCCAATCACTTCATCCTTCAAGGGAATCCAAAAGTGGCAGGTTAAAAACCAGCACCTTAATCAGTGGCTGAGACCAGATGAGAAACTCCCTCCTGGACACAGAAGAGTGGACGACCTGGAAGGCGCTGAACAGACTGCGCTCTGGCACCACGAGGTGCCAGAAATGGGGCTACAAAGTGGAATGCGGAGAATAGCAAACCACAGACCACCTATTACAATGCAACCTGAGCCCTGCCACATGCACAATGGAGGACCTTCTCACAGCAACACCAGAGGCACTCCAAGTGGCCAGCTTCTGGTCTAAGGGCATTTAGTATAATACCAAGGTTTTTTTAACTTTGTATTTTTAAATGCATTTTAACTGTACTCTCAACTCGCTTCTGACATGATAAATAAAGCCTTCAATGGGTCTCTACCCAGCCTGCAACATTTTTCAGCCAACATCTCTGATGCTTGAAAGCATTTTAACAAGTACATAGCTGATAGCTAATGAGTGTTATAAAGATCTGCAAACTGTTGTGTGGGCTTGAATTGTTCTTTGCAGACCTGAAAGTTGCATCACTGGACTCTAGCCACTTTTCCACAAGTATCTGATCTTACCTGCTTTGCTTTGGTCTCACCTAACCAGTCATTGAGAGCCAGCAGTGTGTTGTGGTTTGAGCACTGAACTATGACTTGAAGACCAGGGTTCAGTTCTTTGCTCAACCATGGAAACGTACCTTGTGTGAGTCACATATTTAAAGAAAACTCTGTGAGTTGCCACAAGTCAGAAATGATTTGAACACACACACCAACAACCACCACCAATCTGTCATTGAAAGCAGCTTGCTTTTGACCACCCCAAAGCAGGAGTATGGCCTTTGTAGCTCTTCCAAAATTAGAATGAGCCTCCTGTGAAGAAAAGAATACACACACCACCACATGTAGAAGAAACTTTTAATACTGTCAAAACATTCAATTCTTCTGTTCAGTGAAAGGGTACAATTTACTAAATCAGGGTGGAGCAGTGTTTGGCCACAGAAATATTGGATGGCTCTTTGACACTTGAAAAAGACCTTATGCTTACATAAATAGTTATACAAATGTAAGGATGTTTCTAAACTGTTGAATTGATGCAGTTTGACTCCTTGGTAAGGCACCAGCTTTCCTTAGCTAAGAAAACTTTATGAAAACCATGGGGCCACTGTCAGTTGACAGATAACTTGGAAGCACATGTGCGCACACAGACACATACATGCACACAAAATGCATAGCCACTGGAAATCTTCTCTTCTTCGTTTCATATACACATACACATGTTAAAATTAACATAATTAACAGTGTTTTAACATAATCTGTAAAGATTTGCATTTTATAAGGAACACTTCATCTGTAGATTTCTTTTCATACTCATCCTAGCAAATGTACACTGAGATGCTTTATATTGCTTTGTTAGCTAACATTTGGTATATCCTGATCCATATTTAATCTGTGGTGAAAACACACAGGCATCCGTATAAGATAATCATTTTCCTTGGTCATTGTAACATATTCATTGCAGCATCCATTATAAGCATAATGAGCATAGAGCTATTCAGATGGCAATCATATGGTTATTTTAGCCAAAATCTGATATCGTACACATGGGCAGCCAAGAAAGTGAAACCTTTACTTTCTGATGTTTCAGTGTATGCAAAATTTGTATCACAGACAGAATTATTTTTAAATACTGTGTATACCTTTGGGCTATGCAAATAAGGTATATGTGAAAGATAAATCAATTTTGTGTTTAGACTTGGGTTCCCTCTTCAGGTATCTCATGATGTATATGCAAGTATTCCAAAATCTGAAAAAAAATCAAAATACAGAATACTTCTGCTCCAAACATTTTGGATAAGGAGCATTCAACCTGCATTTTAATGGACTTGATGCTGAAAGGCAAATAATATATATGCTCTTACCACTTATTTCACCATGTTCAAACCACTTTATACTAGTAAAGTAACAAAGAAATGACCCTGAAATAGTTTCAAATCTAATACATTAAAATAAAATGAATATTATAATGCATTGTACTGTACTATGCTTGTCTCTCTATTACCATAAGAAAAGCTATTCCCTGTAGGAGTAAGAGAGAAATGAATACTGGTTATGTTTGCTTCCCATGTTCTTTGGCCTGTTCCAATATGCACAAATACCCTTAGAGTTCAAAAATGTCTTCTCCTTTGGTAACATGGATCCTTCCTGGAGGATTGTAAGGACAGATGGTCCTTTGAGACACAGTAGAACAAGGCCATTCTTGGGTGAAACTAAGAAAAGCAGGAGAATGCAGGACTTCAGGATGAACAGCAAGCTCAGCTCAGCTTCATCACCTTGTTGATCCAGTCAACATAAAGGGAGACACGGATGAAGGTGGAAGGCCGGTCCTTGCTAGCACATACCCGAGATGGGGTGATCACTCCTTCCAACACCCAGCAGTCATGGGTCAGGCAGGCTAAAGGGCCCCCAAAGTCACCCTACAACACAAGCGAACAAAACACTTTATTCAGGCAAAGCAAGTCTGAAAGTCAGAGTAACAATATGGGGTGTTTTTTCTCCTCATCCCAGTAACAAGAATCTTTGGCTTCTGGGGCATGTGCTCCAGTTCTTATTTCAAATAACTGTTTCCTAATTTTTATCAGCCAAGCAAGTTCCTTTCTCTCTCTGGAAGTGGTTTTTTTTTTTTTTTTGGCCTCCCCCAGTTGCTCAACAAAGCTTTCCCTGCTTTTCACTTCAAAATAGCTTTAGTTGCATCACTGCACTCAAAAGCATCCTGAAGCTCACTTCACAAATTATTACCAGTGCCCCTCGATTACCTCACAGGCCCCCACACTTATACGCAGGGCTGCTGTACACAACTCGCTCTCCTTCAGGCGACCTCGGAGAAGTATCTTGCATTCATGGTTGCTCATGATCGGCAACTTTGCCACATTGAGGACATTTGGGTTACCGGTACCTGTTGAGGGTGGGTGGATATATAGTCAGACCCACAAAGAATCCATACCACTAAACCGCATGAATAGGTCCACTAAAACTCGGCCATATCAAAATAAGCAAAGAGACTGAGGCACAGTTAGGTAGTGAGGAACAAAGATTAAAGCTCCAATATTAGGCGCTGCAGTAGAGAAATAAAATTAATTAGAATCATCAAAGCTTGGTAGTGTTACATTTTGAGCTACAATTCCAAGAATGCTCCAGCCAGAATAGTAGCTAGATGGAGGATCCTGGGAGATGCAAGCTGAACAAATAACATTTCCATTTCTTTTGCAATCACTTTACTGTATCAATGGCTCAGGAACCTTTGGGGCTGATAAAGTGGGTGCCAGATCACAACCCTCTTCAAATGACTGCAAGTTTTGTATGTATAGCTCATCTTGCAAATTATCTGAAAACTTCATTTGCTCCAAACAGCACTGCACATTTGCCGATGGAGAATGTATTGGACAAGGATCAGTGACTCTTCCTGGTCCCAATTCAAGATGTTGGCTTCAGTTTTGAAGGGACTTGAATCCTTGAGACCAGGATACTGAAACTTTATACTCTCCTATATGAAACTTAAGAACTTTTCCAGAGTCCCTTTCTGGAGTTATCTAGGCACCAAATGAAAGTTTTTTTTCTTTTCCCTCATTTAAAAATAATATTGTGTTATGATATCATATTTTAATTGTCTGAGGTTGCAAAACACTCATAGAATAATATTATTGCCCCTCTCTTATAAACATACTAAGCAAGTATCATAAGTAAGTGTATAATCTTTTCTTGCAACCATTCTCTAATCATTTGCTCAGGCTGTACCTTGGGTGTCACCCCATCCTGCAATCTCACACTGTGTGTTTGCAGGCACAATGTAGCGCTCAGGTGGGAGGCAGATGAGTGCCACCCTTTGATTCAGAATTGCTGGCCTGCAGAGAGAAAGAGAGAAACCACACAAACAGTCATATAAAAACATGTTCTTTAGACACATGGTAGACATGGCAGATTAGCAACTCCTTTTATATGATGTCATGGTTAACTGATTTTGTGTCGCTGATACCTTGTGAAGAAAATTACTTTTTAATATCCAGCTGAAAGGTTGATCATGGTTATAGTCATAGTTATTGCATATACTACATGATAAGCAAGTTTGCTTGGAGTCAATTAACACAAATATGTCTGCTTATGATGATCACCTGAAATAGCTGCATCGATGATTCCTGCTTATGAGTATCAGCAGGGAATTTGCCCATGCAACAATTTTAGTTACTGATGATCAGACTTCAGAATCTTGGTGGCTGTGCGAACTGCCCTTGAGAGAGGTGGGTATTATTATTATTATTATTATTATTATTACTACTAGTAGTAGTAGTAGTGGTATTAGTAGTACTAGTACAAATATCCTTCTTGCAAGCTTCCTTTCTCTAAGTTTCCAAACTTTGGGGAGTATGATTACACCAAAAATGTGTTTTTGTAAAAGTGTACTCAACATTTATTTCTCAGAGGTAGAAAATCTTATAACATCTATTCAGACACAAGGAGGGTTTTCCCTGAACTGGAGTAACAACCACAGATTCCAAATACTGGAAGTACAATATGTAATTACTGCCGGCAACTGAAAAACATCTGTTGTCTGTGTCTTAGTATATAAAATGTGGAATTCACTTTCATTTTGTAGGAGACATGGATACCTTCTCCAAGAGGCCACTTACCTTTCCAATTTCAGCATCACCAGAAGAGATTCAGAAGGACCGCAAACAATCTTATTGATGGGAATGGCCTGTTTGTCAGGGTCATTAGGACCAGGATTCTTAAAGAGGGTTCCAAGCCAGACTTCATAACCAGATAAGTCCGCGTCACTGCCAAGAACAGGAGGGCACAGTTGTCACGGGGTTCCCAGAATGCTAGTTATAAGAAGAATATAAAGTGGGCCAAATTTTGGGTCCCAGCTCCTACCGTGGCTACTAATACTACATCACTTGGAAGTATCTCAGCAAATGTATTGAAAGGATGCTTTGAATACCTATGACCTATTGCCCAAAGTAAAACTAGTTTTCTGCAATTCCCTAGAAACAGATTGTGGAGACTGATGTCAGGGACCCACTAAGGGACTCCTCTAGCCAAACAAGTGTTTTTCACACTGCCACTCCTAAGAATTGGAATAAGAAGCAGCCTTCTTGGCTAACTCTAGAGTTGTGCTCTCTCGGCACCTTCTGCACTGCCATATAATACATATTATCAAAGTAGATAATCCACATTATCTGCTTTGAACTGGATTATATGAGTCTATATGGCCATATAATCCAGCAAAGCAAATAATCTGGATTTTATCTCACATAGTAGAAGGAGCCTCTGTCTAGGGATTCAGCCTCCCATTCTGCTCCAGGGAGCTTGGATTCATGCTTGGTGGGGAAATCCTCTTGTATGGATAGGACACTATCATTTCAGCAGTTCCCTTTTACTTGGTCCCTGTCAGATCATGGACAATCACCTAACCCATAAATATATTTATTATAATTTATTTTCCAATGTATAACCCACCTTTATGCACACAGGAGCCAAGTGATTAACAATCATAACAATAGTAAACATATCTGAAATTGGGTTGTTGTGAGTTTTCCGGGCTGTATGGCCATGTTCCAGAAGTATTTTCTTCTCACAACTTCTGAGGATGCCTGCCATAGATGCAGGAGAAGTGCCAGGAAAACTCACAACAACCCAGTGATTCTGGCCATGAAATCCTTCGACAACACATATATAAAATTATTTTAAAAATCAATGTCAGTGGAATAAAAACAACAGATAAAGCCAATGTTGTTGTTCATTCGTTCAGTCATTTCTTCATGACCTCATGGACCAGCCTACGCCAGAGCTCCCTGTCGGCCATCACCACCCCCAGCTCCTTCAAGGTCAATCTAGTCACTTCAAACATGCCATCCATCCACCTTGCCCTTGGTAGACCCCTCTTCCTTTTTTGTTCCATTTTCCTCAGCATAATTGTCTTATCTAAGCTTTCCTTTCTTCTTATGAGGGCCAAAGTACTTCATCTTTGCCTCTATTATCCTTCCCTCCAATGAGCAGTCGGGCTTTATTTCCTGAAGTATAGACTGGTTGGATTTTCTGGCGGTCCAAGGCAATCTCAGAAATTTCCTCTAACACCACAGTTCGAAAGCATCTCTCTTCCTTCACTCAACCTTCCCTAAGGTCCAGCTCTCACATCCGTAGGTGACTATGGGGAATACCATTGCTTTTACTGTGTGGATCTTAATATGCCAATGATGGCATATTAAGACATGTTAGGACAACATTATGTTAAAAATTAGAGCCCACTATTTGCTCCTGGCCCTGGAAAGTGAACTAGAAACTGATGTTCATTTTCTAAGTAAGACCCTGGGACAGAAACAAACAGACTTGCTGCACACTGAGGTGCTTCAGTGAAGTTGAGTTAGGAAGAAGTGTCATAAGGGTGCTTCTTTACACAGGCTGTTCATAGCGTTTGTTTCAATCCAGGAAAAATGATCCATGTGACACGACTAACAGTCCAATTTTCAAGCAAAGTAAGCTTGACCTAATCAGTGTTCCCCTGCATAATGCTCCACTGGAAAATAGTACACTTTCCCAAGGGGACTCAAAGGAAATGATCTAGTGACACAGAATTCATATAGAAAAGCCAAAGAAGTCACTTACCAAGAGGAGAAGCACTGACGTGTGCTAATGACCCACTGCTCCTTCACCAGTGACCCTCCACAGAAATGGACTCCTTCTCTGAATATCAGAAAAAGACAAATCAAGTTAGTGAAAGCAAAACCTGAAACAACACTAACATCCTTAGGCATTGTTACTGTCCTGAAGGCTCACTATTGCCTTTTCTCACAGCCAGACAGCAGTTGACCTCCTCGCATCTATGTCTCCATTAACACTTGGTGCTCTTCGACTTGTGCACAAGTCATTAAAAAAAATCTATAAGTTTGGTTCCCAAACCTGTCCGTGACTTATACATGTGGTCAGCTTATGCACAAGTATATATAGTAATGCTAGAGAGATTCATTCAGGCATCATTCCCATGTCAGTTATCTCCTTACAACATAGGCCAGAGCTTTTTATAATCCCTGCCATCTTGGGATTCCATCACAAGTGGCCCTTACATCCTTCTCCTTACCGATTGCGGATGCTGACTGTCCAAGGTGAGTTCCCAGGGGTTCCTCCTACAATACGAACCCGTGACTCCGACCGGTCCTCCCTCCTGCCACACTGGTCAAAGACCACGTTCTCTGCAAGCAAGAAGTCAGAGCAAAGTCAAGTACAGGGTCTTTGTGACTTAAATATAATTTGATTCTAAAAGCATATTGACAGAGTGGCAGCTAGAAGACCATGATAGGAAAAACCCTGTCCTTTAGGTCCTTTTCATCAGATCTGCTTTCACGTCACAGAATCAGATCAATTATCATATGCAAAACACTCGCCTGTGTTTTGTAGGATGGATGGCTTCTTGTCACCAGCTGCAAAACAGAACACAGAGAGAGTTCACACATGCAAGACCACCACTGCATTTCTCTACATCTGACTGTACTTGATGTTTAGCAACTGAAAAGCCTTCACTGAAAGAGGCTATGATGTTGGAACCTTTCCCAAATGCAAATTACTGTTCGACTGATCAATCTTCTAATGGAAGGATGACAAGTCAATCAATCAATCAATCAAGACTTTATTATGGTGCATGACCAGCACAGAGGGATAACTAGTCAGACATGAAAGAAGAGGTAGCTGGCCTTCCTTGTTCTCAAAATAATAGGTTTGTCAGAGTGAAAACTGAAGACAAGCCACATCTGCTGAAATTCTCACATCTGTACAATCGTTTTAAAAAATGACATGATGTTGATCGTACGTCTATTCGGAAACTTTATCAGTCCAATTTAGATTTGACGCAGATGACCAAGACAGTTTTAAATGGTGTATTTTAGTGTTGTGATAAATGTTTTTAATGTTTATGTATGCTCATATGAATTATTGCCCTGACATTGAATGTTTGCTGTATATATGCTGTGCTCGCCCTGAGTCCCCTTCAGGGTGAGAAGGGCAGAATATAAATGTTATAAATAAATATAAATAAATAAATAAATACACTGCTAGCACATGTTTACATGCAAGTTATGTCAATGGCCACTTGTCCCAAAAGAGCCCAGAGGGTGCAGAAAAGATCTTTGGAAGGGCACACATGACCAGAACAAAATACATCTTCCTTCTGACCCTCTGCAGATTGAAGGAAATAAATGTGCTTTTGCTCCATTGCTATGTCTTTCAAATACTTACCACATGGTTTTATGGCACAGTAATCAAACTGAGTGTTGCGGTCCATAGTGTAGCACCAGGGCCCATGGCTGTCATTGTCAGGGTTGCGGCAATAATTCTCTTCAAGACGCACAGTAGGGAACTTGACAGGGAAGACCCTAAGAAGAAGGAAAAATAATTGTCCCTTTAATATACTGTCACTTGATATATCACCATTCTCTATTACAGCTGATGTCCAATCATAGAATCATAGAATAATAGTTAGAGGGGATTGGCCATCTAGTCCAACCCCCTGCCATGCAGGAAAAGCATAATCAAAGCTCCCCCAACAGATGGCCATACAGCCTCTGCTTAAAAGTTTCCAAGGAAGGAGCTTCCACCACACTCTGATGCAGAGAGCTCCACTGTTGAACAGTTTGTGCGGTCAGGAAGTTCTTCCTAATGTTCAGGTGGAATCTCCTTTCCTGTTTGAACCCACTGCTCCTAGTCCTAGTTTCAAAGGCAACAGAAAACAAGTCTGCTCCCTCTTCCTTATGATACCCTTTCACATATGGCTATCATGTCCCCTCTCAACCTACAGGCTAAACCTGCCCAGTTTTTCAAGATGCTCCTCATAGAACATGGTTTTGAGACCATTGATCATTTTAGTTGCCCTCCTCTGGACACATTCCAGCTTGTCAATATCTCTTTTGAACTCTGGGGCCCAGAACTGGACACAGGATTCCAGGTGAGGTCTAACCAAAGGAAACTACAGAGGCACCATGACTTCCCTCTATCTAAACCAATGGTTCTTAACTGTCGGCTCATGTTCAACTTGTTGTCCATGAACTCCAAGATCTTTCTCATATGGACTGTTGTCAATATCCATCCTGTATCTTTGCGTTTCATTTTTTCTGCCTAAGTGTAGTATCTTACATGGCCCATTCTGACCCATTTCAGGGATCTACCCTATTGCCGCTGATGTAGGTTCAAACATCAGAGAAGGAAAAAAGAGCCTCCATCCACAATGAACAACCCATCATACACTCACTCACTGGGGTCTGTGAGGCGACTGGTCTTTCCACTTCTGACAGGTGATTCCTTTTCGGGTTTTACTAACAGTGCCTTGATACTCCTCTCCGTTTCCGTGATAACAGTCTGTGAGGACAAAAGACTCAATTGAATGCCACTCCCTGCTCTTATTTTGTGCCTTTCAGTTTACTCTGAGTTCTGGTGAGCCTATCACAGGCTTTTCTTAGCAAGATTTATCCAGATAGGGTTTGCTTCCACCTTCCTCTGAGGTTGCGAGAGTGACTTGCCCAAGGCCTCCCGGTGGGTTTCCATCACTGAACATCCCTGTTCTCTCAATGGCCTAATCCAAAACTCAGACCCGTATACTACTTTGGTTCTCATCAGCCCCTGCTCTACTTGATTTCTGGCTAATCTCAGTTTCCCTTCCATGGCCAAAATGACATCAATCACACAAAAAAGGAGGATGAAGCTTGCTGAGGGAAATCCCAATATCTGAAAAAGTATACCTATATACTTAAAGGGGAAACCGGATCAGTGGCTGATTGGTGGGGGGAAAACAAACAGATCAATAAAAATAGGAATGCAAAATGGTGTAGCTAGAATTCTGAAAAGTAACAATCCATACTGTTTGAAGTGTATGTTCTGTCTTTTTGTAAACTGCCTTACAAAGGTAGGATATCATGGGGGCCTTCATCCTCCACCCTTCATTCTGTAATTCTACACCATAGAAATAATGCCGCCTGACCCCGGTTTGATCAACATGGTTCAATGCTATGAAACCCTGGGAGTTGTAGCTTTACCAGGTCTTCAGCTTTCTCTGCCAATGCCTCACCAAACCACATATCTCAGGATTCCATAGTATTGAGCCATGACAGTTAAAGTGTGGCCAAAATGCATTGATTCGATAGTGCAGATGCACTCATACACAAATGCCTGTTGTGATATATGTGCGCCTTCTCTGTCTCTGTGTATATTCAGACCCTAATAATAATATAAATTATGAGGAATCCAGCCTACCCCACAGGAAGAAGAGAAATAAAGGAGCCACAGATGGAAGGTTCACACTAGATCTTGGCTGGGAACCACTCACTTCACT